GCTGTCAAGCATCTCAAAAGATGAATTTAGACAATGTTTTGAAAAATGGAATAAAAGACTAGACAAGTGTATTAGTGTAAGTGGAGAGTACTTTGAAGGGGATTGAAGGTTTGTGCTTAAAATTTGAATAAATAAGTTTAAAAAAAATAAGTTCGGTTTCTTTTGGGTACCCCCTCGTATATGATGACTCCAATCATATTAGAAGCAATTCAAATAAAATAAATGTTGCATAATAACTAGCATAATTAGTACAAGAGTTTGATAAAATGTTAGAAGTTCACCCTGCATCATGTCTCAGTTATCACCACTCTCAAAGCATAAGACAAAACAGTATCACAAACCATTAAGGCATTTTTATTCACACTATTCTACTAGCAAAAAGAGGTCATTTTGAGTTACAAAGATACATGATGTTCCTTTGTGCAAAAATATTCATGCAGGTTTAAAAATCAATTTATCTTTGCAAAGCTACACTTTTGGGGCACGCGGTAGTTTAGTTGGTTGAGGCACTATGCTACAAGGCAGAAGGTCGCGGGTTCAAGTCCCGACGAGGTCATTGGATTTTTTCAATTGACCTAATCCTTCCAGCCGCACTATGGACCTGGGATCAACTCAGCCTCTAACAGAAATGAGTACCAAGAATTAATTAAATAATTTTCCTGGGGAGTAAAGTGCAGCTGGCACATAAGGCTGACAACTTTACCACCATCTTTGAGCCGACTGTCTAGATAATGTGGGACCCTCAATGCCTCACAACCATATGGGCCTTCACAGCCTGTTACAGGGATAGCTTTACTTTACTTACTTACTTTTAATGCTACACTTTTACAATGTTCAGTTACTCAACTACTTTGCAATGCTACATGAACTACTAAGTTTATGCCATGCTGAATTATATGACAGACTCATGGTGACATACACCAGTATTTGATTGAATGTACTAAGAAAAACCATGAAAACCTGTCAAAGTAGCAGGTTTCCTGGGTGAAATTTGAAGTAGGTGCCTCTATATAAGAAGCAGAAGCGTTAATCTAACTATACCACAGTACTTGGTTGTCACAAATGTGAAAGAGATGTATACCCTTCGTACCATCTAATGTGTTCTGCAGTTCCAGCACCTGAGAAATCAATCGAGCTTTCTCTTCCTGTTCATCAGGGCTAATGTCGGGATCTAAACCTGTAAACCAAATATATAAATACTTTATATGCAATTCTGAGCAGTATCAGATACTCAAAACCCAAATAATATGAAACAATTCAGAAATCTGAAAATGACTTGCAAAAACAGCAAAAAATTTTCTTTACTTATTTACATCTTAACACTTAACAGACGAAAGAAATGAAAGTATTATGATAAAATTATTACACAGAACTGCTCAGGCAATTTTCAGACATGAACATCCACATTTCCCATTGCTACTGTCATATCTTTTTTCTCTATCACCAATTGGCAGCAGTTATGTGTAGAAATCTAGCTAAATTTTCAAAAGCAGAATAACCAGGCAATCAATCAATCAATACAAATTGTGCCTGCTTTTAGCAGAGGTGGTTTTGGAAACTGTAAAAAACTGAAATGGGTATCTCTATCACAGTACTGCAAATAATATATCTGGAAGAATGTGGAATTTATCCAAATACAAGGCTCCTTCCTTTTAATTTACAATAATGAAAAACAATTTGTTACAGTTTTAAGGCAGAGCTGACCCCCCCCCCCAAAAGCCACAGTGTTTTACAGTTCTGTCATAACAAATAGAGTTCTACTATTTACACATGCTGAGGTCGCGGGTTCAAGTCCTGATTAAGTCACTGGATTTTTTTCAACTGACCTAATTCTTCCAGTACTATGGCCCTGGGGCTCACTCAGCCTCTAACAGAAATAAATACCAGGAATTAATTAAATAAGTTTCCTGAGGAGTAAAGCGCGGCCAGCGCATAAGGCTGACAACCTTCCTGCCATCTTTGAGCTGATTGTCTAGATAATGTGGGACCCTCAACGTCTCACAACCCTATGGGCCTTCACAGCCTGGTACAGGGATAGCTTTACTTTACTTACCCATACTGAAATTATCTTAAGTATGTTTCACTACTGATGATATAAACAGTTACCCTAACAAATATTCCTTGTTTGCAATTACAAGAAAACCCCTCAGTTTTCAAATACTAATTATGAAAATATCTTCTATATTCAGGCAAATACAGAATTTTACTTTACTGCCTGTTCAACAGAATATAATTAGCTAATTATATATGGGCACTTTCTCTGTTCAAGTACCACAATATCAAACTTTGTCGTTATCTACCACATACATTAGTGTACAGGCTACAATCATAATGTGTGTGTGTGTGTGTGTGTATAGGTGCCCATGTTGCAGTACTCTGTTATGCAAGAAAATATTCTTTTAGTTTTGCATAGAAATTCCCCTTACACATGGTAGAGTAGTTGGTTGAGGCAATATGCCATACAAGCTGGAATATTGTGGGATTGAATCCCAATGAAGTGGATTTTTTCAGTTAACCTAATTCTTCCAGCCACATTATGGACCTGGGGTCAACTCAGCCTCTAACAGAAATGAGTACCAGGAATATCCTTGTGAGTAAAGGGTGGCCGGCAAGCGGCCTTGGTAGTCTAGGGGTAACGTTCCCACCTCATAACTCAAGGCACGCAGGTTCAAACCTGGCGGAGGTCGTGGAATTTTTAAGGGCAGAAAAATTCAGGGAACAAGTCCTCCGGGAGGGACTTTAAGCCGTGGGTCCCGTGTCGTAGATTTACAGCACGTAAAAGATCCTCATGTCTCTAGGAGACCTCTGAGCAAAATTAGGCAACACATTTCCCGCCCAAGTAGTTTCCGATGCCTCTGGTAGATGGCGGAAATATCAGGTACCGAGGGCCGACCTCGTTGGATGAATGGGGCTGAGAGCACGCACCAGTACCGGTAGGGTATGGTGACAGTAGAAACTAAAGGGGGATGCACAATTCACCAATAACTGACCAATAACTGGTCTAAGTGCATGGGGAAACCCACCCCTCCACTACTACTACTACTACTACTACTACTACTACTACTACTACTACTACTACTACTACTACTACTAATAATAATAATAATAATAATAATAATAATAAAGAGTAGCCGGCACGGAAAGCTGACAACCTCAGTACCATCTATGAGCCAACTGTCTAGAAAATGGGGAGGCCTCAACATCTCACAACGCTATGGGCCTCCATGGCCTGTTAGAGGAATAGCTTTACTTTTTTACAAATTCCCCTTACATTATTATTACGTTAAAAGTCACCATTCCATTTCTAATGATCACAGTTTCCAATCAGTAGTTCACAATTGCATGCTCATAACACCATTTTCATTCAGAAATCATTTCTTTCATTTTTTGTCTGTTTCATTTGCAACTGTATGTCATATGCAGTAATGGAAGTATTAAGGAGCCTGATATAGAAGTAATGCTCTAGACTTGCATTTTGGAGGTGCTTTGTTTGAATCTTGGACAGGCTATCGGTTATACTGAAGTTTTTGTGGCATTCCTCAGTCTCACCAGGCAAATACTGGACTATTGCCTCACTTGGACCATGATCACAGCCTTCCATTTGATGCCATATGGTCTAGATATCGAGATCATAAAATAAATTGCAAGAGAAATGTAAAGGAAATAAAGTGAAATAAACACATGCATAGATGTAGTATGTCTTTGATTTTTAAATATTATAAACATATTCTATTTGCATAACACAGTTTCTCAGTAAGTTTCATGAACATCATAAAAATTACATACTGTTTGGTCCTGGACTACTACTGCCATTTGTATAGGCTGAAGGGATAGAATCCAGACTGCGACCATGTATCATGGCTTCTGATGCATGGGACATGTCTGTCACTTCAGTATCGTCTTGAATGATAACTGAAAACAACAGGAATTGATATAGTGTGTTTATATCCATGTATAAATGTAAGTCTTCAAGAAAAGCAGAGAAACACTCTTAAAAGGATGTAAAGAAAAATGTAGCATAAGGTCATGTCACAAATCAAATTCAGGAAAATGGCATAACTGCTCATCTACTGAAAATTTGACAAAAATCAACCACTTGAAAACGATTCTAAGGGATAAAAATGATATTAATGACAAAAGTACTTGCTTTTCATGATCAACCAGAAGTTGGGTCTCACGATAAGGACTACCTCCACTGATTTTGCACAAATGAGTAGGCTTTTTACCCAAGGCAAGAAACAGAGTTCAGTCTTCCAAACATTATTATAAATAAAAACAGAATGATTATAAATGTCAAAGTAAGTCAATAAATGCATAAGCTGGGCTTGAGACATCACTTAGGAACAAAATCAACATTTAATAAAAAGTTTTCATGTGGTGGGGGAGACGTTCATATTAAAATATGATGTGTATTCCAGAACTGTGTGAATCTCCTATGGAATGGAGTTTATGAATCACTGTTTTGCGCTATCCTTCCTGAACTGGTGTGCAGCAGTTACTTGAAGACAAAAGAGGATACTGTTGGAGATGTACTATTATAAGAATCCTTTTATAGTCTTACACCAGTGGTTCCACAAACTGTGGGGCGTGACCCCGGGGGGGGGGGCCAAGGGCTTGAAAGGGGGGCGCAGCATACTTTCCTACAGATAAAAATTAAAACTGCCCTAAATCAATTAGAAAAGTAACAAAAAATAAAAATACATATAGAAAAACTTTTGATGAGTACAGGCTTTAATTATCATGAATTTCAAAATGACTACTAATTATTCTCTTTACCGGCAATTATAAAACGCGTATGCCAGAGACAGCGTTAATAGTTCGGCAGCAGCTGCATCCTCTGAA